TTCACATGTTAAGCTTTGACCATTGAAATTTGTATACTTTGGTTAGAATCATAGAGTTGGAAGAGACCTCATGGGCCATCCAGTCAAACCCCCTGCCAAAAAGCAGGAAAATTGCATGCAAAGCACCCCCAACAGATGGCCATCCAGCCTCTGTTTAAAAGCTTCCAAAGAAGGAGACTCCACCATACTCCAGGGCAGAGAGTTCCACTGCTGAACGGCTCTCACAGTCAGGAAGTTCTTCCTAATGTTGAGATGAAATCTCCTCTCTTGTAGTTTGAAGCCATTGTTCCGCATCCTAGACTCCAGGGCAACAGAAAACAATCATTTCAGGCCACACACAAATAAAAGTACAAATTAAAGCCAGAGAGGTAACAAAGTACTGCATGCAGTTAACAAGACAGAAACTTTCCAGGTATGAGTGGACCTATGAGTGCCTCAGAAGCTTAACAGAACATTACCAGAGCCTTACTGCATATGACGGAACAAATCATCTTTATCTCTATGTATCTGCCTCCTTAATTTCTAAACTGAGAATATGTTTGCAATTTTTGCATAAAAAGGAAAACTGAAACCTTTCTTCCACCATCACGACATCTCCTCTTTTGTCTAGTTTTTTGCAACCAGATAGCAAATAATGTGTAAAATAACGGAAACTATATATATATATATATACACACACACACACACACACACACACACATTTTGACATTATAGATAGAAAGAGAGAGTGCTTCATCCCCTGAACCAGATGTAAAATAGAACTGACACATAAAAAACAATCTGGATCCCCATCATTATGCAGGCAGCAAGAAGGCAGATTTGTGCAGTGCCTAACATGATATGTCTGGCCCATATAGAACTTGGCATTGTTACTTTTTTTGGACTGTAATCTTTCAACCAATCTTTCCCAGAATCTTTCAACCAATGTGATATGCAACCTTGAGTCCTCTGTGATGTGTTGATACTTTTTGGCAAGTAAAATACTGTGGAATAGTTCTGCTGATAGTAGGAAGTGTGAAAACTTATTGGTTCAATGCAACTCTCCTGAAGAAACCCATCCTCCTTCAGGATTTAAAACTTCATGTGTATTGGTCAGTCTCTCATCACTTTAGACTGGCAGCTGAGCTGTTTCTGCTTTTCAGCTTTTTGCCAGAAAGAACGCACAATGGACCTCCATGCACCTTCTTACTGTGACACCAGAGGCACTCCAAGTGGCCAGCTTCTGGTCAAAGAAAATTTAGCATAATGCCAAGTTTTTAAACTTTGTGGTTTTTTATACACTATAACTGTATTTTCAATTTGCTTCTGACATGATAAATAAGTAAATCAGAAAGAAAATGAGAGATCCATTTGCCTCATTGTATTCCAGCTGGTGAATCTGAACTGCTTAATTCATTCAAAAAAGCCACCTCCCCCTCCTGGGTTGGAAGTCATAACCCATTTTTGGCATCTCATTGGGACTTCGTTGACCATTCTTTTGGAAATTTCCATAACCATTTGGAAAATGGGATTTACAACCTTTTTGAAAAACCATTGGAAAGGCATAACCTTGTTAGAAGTCACAAACTTTTGAAAAATGATGTTCACCAGCATTCATGCAAGGCAACTGAGTCTCTCAGCTGTTAAACTAATGTACCTAGGTATGTCTTTGAACTGCTAGGGACAAAGACATGCCAATGCACAAAAACACATATGTAGCAGAGTTTCAGAAGTGTTCATTTAGTTGCCCCAAAAAATCTACTCTCCCTTAAAATATATTTGCCTTTAAATCATGCTCTCAAGAGACAAACTAAACCGTCTTCTTTAAAAGTAACAGAGTTGGTTTACTCACCAAACTTCATGTATACAGCATACATGCACTTTGCTTATGAATCCAGTTACAATAGCATTTTGTTTGTTTCTCTGTGTAGGTAACATAGGGCATCTTCCTTAGAAGCAATAGTCCATAGTCCAAAGTATATCATTTCTTATTCCTTCTTCTCCCTTTCATTTATTTACTTATTTATTTATTTACCATATTATTATTATTATTATTATTATTATTATTATTATTATAACTTTATTTGTACCCCGCTAGCATCTCCCAAGGGATTCGATGCGGCTTACAACAGGCCGAAGCCCACACAATACAACAATACAATACCTAAAGCAAATTAAAACAGTTAAGCAGGAAAACAATAACAGTAACAATACAACAAGACACTATTAAAACTGGGCCTGGCCAGAGTAGTGGGTACAGGATTAAAAGTGCTGAAGTGGCGGGAGGAATGTAGGATTATAAGATGTGTGCGGTGTGCGGTGTGCAATGATCTTAGTTCTACTAAAGTGCTTCTAGGACTTGGTATTGGGGTTCCTAATCTGAGAAGGCGCATCGGAACAGCCAGGTTTACTCATTCTTTCTGAAGACTGCCAAAGTAGGGGCCTGTCTGAGATCTTTCGGGAGGGCATTCCAGAGGCGGGGGGCCACCACAGAGAAGGCCCTGCCCGCGTCCCCACCAAACGTGCCTGCGACGCGGGCGGGATCACGAGCAGGGCCTCTCCTGATGACCGGAGTGAACGTGTGGGTTCGTAGACTATGATGCGGTCACGCAGGTAGGGTGGTCCCAAACCGTTCAGGGCTTTGTAGGTAAGCACCTGCACCTTAAATTGGGCTCGGAAAATAAACAGCAGCCAGTGGAGCTCCTTAAACAGAAGGGTTGACCTCTCTCTGTAATGGGCCCCCGTTAGCATCCTGGCTGCTGCCCGTTGGACCAATTGGAATTTCCGAGCTGTTTTCAATGGCAGCCCCACGTAGAGCGCATTGCAGTAATCCTGTCTAGAGGTGACTAAGGCATGGACCACCCCGGCCAGATCAGCCTTAGCGAGGTACGGGCGCAGCTGGCGCACAAGTCTCAGTTGTGCAAAAGCCCTCCCGGCCACCGCCGACGCCTGAGCCTCAAGCGTGAGCGATGAGTCCAGGAGGACTCCCAAGCTGCGGACCTGTGGCTTCAGGGGGAGTGTAACCCTGTCCAGCACAGGTTGCCACCCTATACCCCGGTCTGGTTTGCGATCGCTTCTACTCTCCCACAGAGTCTAATAGCTTCTATCTCTCCCAAGAGTCTAATGCAAAACTGATCTAAAATGGAGTCTTAGTCCTGAACATCTCTAGTTGTGATCATATGGTCTGCAGCTCCTCCCACAACAAAGAGGTTAGGTAAAATGGCAAACCAATACACACATACAAATACAGTAAGCAATTATATACACACTGTAACAAATAACATGGGGGAAGGCTTGAGAAGATTGCTATTTCCAACACATTTAGTGCAGTTAGGCATGGGAGATAAAATTTGACACATGTGACATTGTATGGCAATCTCTAACAAGATTTTGTTGCTAGCAATCTCTAGCAAGAGTTTTGGTGTGCGGTGTCATCTGTGTGCAGATGATGTCCAACTCTGTCACTCCTTCCCACCTGCTGCTATAAGGAGGCTGTTCAAGTCCTGAACCGGTGCTTGGCCGCTGTAATGGACTGGATGAGAGCGAACAAATTGAAATTAAATCCAGACAAGACAGAGGGCCTCCTGGTCAGTCGCAAGGCCGAACAGGGCATAAGGTTACAGCCTGTGTTAGATGGGGTTACACTTCCCCTGAAGACGCAGGTTCACAGCTTGGGAGTGATCCTGGACTCATCGCTGAGCCTGGAACCCCAGGTCTCAGTGGTGGTCAGGGGAGCTTTTGCACAATTAAAACTTGTGTGCCAGCTGCGCCCGTACCTTGGGAAGTCTGACTTGGCCACGGTGGTCCACGCTCTGGTTACATCCCATATAGATTACTGCAACACACTCTACATGGAGTTGCTGCTGAAAACTGCCTGGAAGCTCCAACTAGTCAAATACTCGGCAGCCAGGTTGCTTACGGGTGTGGGGAACAGGGAGCACACGACTCCCCTGTTACACCAGCTCCACTGGATGCCAATTAGCTTCTGAACACAATTCAGAGTGCTGGTTTTAACCTATAAAACCCTACACAGTTCCAGCCCAGTTTACCTGTCCGAACGTATCTTCCCCTATAAACCATCAAGGACTTTAAGATCTTCTGGAGAGGCCCTGCTCTTGGTCCCACCATCTTTGCAGTTGCGCTTGGTGGGGATGAGAGACAGGGCCTTCTCTGTGGTGGCCCCCTGGCTATGGAACTCTCTCCCCAATGAGGTTAGGTCTGCCCCCTCCCTCCTGACCTTCAGGAAGAAACTGAAATCCTGGCTTCGGAATCAGGCATTCGCAGATTGATGAATTGAACCGGTAAAGACTAAGAGTTATTGGACCACAATGTCTGGATTAAGTTGTATGATGTTTTTAACTCGGTGAGCTGTCTTTTATATGTATTTTATAACTTATTTATTATGCATGTTGTTTTTAAAATGTTATTTATTGTGTAGCATTGACTTTTTGCTGTTGTTAGCCGTTATGAGTCCCTCCATGGAGGTAGAGAAGAACATAATATAAAAGTTCTAAATAAATTAATTTTGTGCATCTGAGCACTGGATTTTAACAGTGATACAATGGGGACAGAGGGATAATCAAATAGACAGATACTTCTTAGGTTCTCTGCACTATGGCCTTTGCAACAGCTATTTCAATCTCAAAGAAGAGATACTTGAAAAGCTACGCTTTGCTACATAACCTTCGTTGCTTTGCTAGACTTCCTAGGAAATGCCATATGAGAAATCATATCGCTTCTGAGACCAAATATATATCCTAATATTGTTTTAATTTCTTTTTCCCCCCAGCACTGGAATTCTTTCCTAACAACAGCATGCTTTTGACAAGCTACATGAGCACCTACTTCATTGTGAACGTTCCCAAGTGTGTTAGCCCCAAAGGTTTTTCTCCTGTCAAAGTCAGATTAGCAGTGGCTCAAGTTCCAGACACAAGCTCTTTGCCAGGTATGGGATATGCATGGATGTATGTTATGTAACTTTTTTTGCAATGTGATTTTTTTATTGATAAAGTATGGGGAGTGAGAATGTAGATGGGGCCTATAGTTTCCACAAGTGTTCTCTATATTTAAAGCTGGGGAAACTGCTTTGTAATTCATTTGCATATAACTGAACAGATGGGACATTTCAGTGCTGAATGATATAAAGACAAGGAATAAATTTAGTAATGTATTTGTGTAAGTATTACTCTTAGCATTTATATATATATACTAGCTGTACCCACCACGCGTTGGTGTAGCCAATCGCCCCTCCCTCTTTCTCTCCTTTCCTTCCTTCCTTCGCTCTCTCTTTCCTTCCCTTCCTTCCCTTTTCTTCTTTTCTTCTCTCATTCCTTCCTTCTCTACCTCTTTCCTTCCTCCCTTTTCCTTTTCTTCCCTTTCTTTCCTTTCTTCCTTCTCTAGCTCTTTCCCTCCTTCCTTTGCTCCCTCTTTCTTTCCTTTCCTTTTTTTCTTTCTCTCCTTCCTTCCTTCTCTACCTCTTTCTCTCCTTCCCCCCATTTCTTTTCCTCTCTCTCCTTTCTTCCTTCTCTACCTCTTTCCTTCCTTCGCTCTTTGCTTCCATGTTACCTTCTTTCCTTCCTTCCTCCCTTTTCCTTTTCCTTCCCTTTCTCTCCTTTCTTCCTTTTCTAGCTCTTTCCCTCCTTCCTTCGCTCCCTCTTTCCTTCCTTTCCTTTTTTCTTTCCTTCTCTCCTTCCTTCCTTCTCTACCCCTTTCTTTCGTTCCCCCTTTTCTTTTCCTCTCTCTCCTTTCTTCCTTCTCTACCTCTTTCCTTCCTTCCTTCGCTTTGGGCTTCCATCCTTCCTTCTTTTTTTCTTCCTTCCTCCCTTTCTTTCTTCTCCTTTCTCTCCTTCTTTCCCTCCTTCCTTCGCTCCCTCTTTCCTTCCTTTCCTTTTTTCTTTCCTTCTCTCCTTCCTTCCTTCTCTACCCTTTCTCTCCTTCCCCCCTTTCTTTTCCTCTCTCTCCTTTCTTCCTTCTCTAACTCTTTCCTTCCTTCCTTCACTATTTGCTTCCATGCTTCTTTCTCTCTTTCTTTCCTTTCTCCCTTCCTTTTTTCTTTTTCCCCTTCCTTTCTTCCCTCTTCCTTCCCTTTGTCTGTATCATCATTTAGCTTTTTGGGGGTTTAAAGTCCTTTCCATTGTTTTTTTTTTTGCGAGGGTTTATGAGTGATGGTAACTCGTTGGTCTGTTAGGGGTGTTGTGTCCAAATTTCATGTCATTTCGTCCAGTGGTTTTTGAGTTATGTTAATCCAACAAACTAACATTACATATCTATCTATCTATCTATCTATCTCAAGTCAAAACCAGGGTAAAAAAAGTTGCTTTCTGTTGTAAGTAAGGAGAAAATACCATAGCCACAAGCATACATGACCTGAGCTGGAAATACTTTCCTTATCTTCCTTCCATCAGTCTGGTAGAACTTCATAGACAAGCAAAACTGGATGGACAGGAACGTCAGCTAAAAACTCTTCTCCACCCAATCTGCACTCCATTTTTCCTCTCAGCCCTCCAGCACTGCTTCCTTTTGCTACAAAATGGCCGAACGCAAATATTTTGATCATTTTGCAAGTGTTTCCGCTTAGCAAGAAGTAGTGAATAAGGGAAGGAACACTATAAAACTTCTCTTAGTCTATTGTAAGGTTTGTATTGTATTTAGGGCCCAATTGAGAAACCCTAGCATGTGTAAGCCCATTAACTCTCGCACGACATTTTGAGATTCATTGGTGTGAGGCTAATATATGTACAACCTCATCAAATGGGCTTTTTCTGGTGGCATTATGTGGTTTGAGCCCTAGATGATCCACAGAACCCGCTGGCACCCAACAAACAACGGACAAGAACTTCCAGCTGGGTTTCATGGGCCATCTAGAGTGGACATGGCATATACTGCTGTGATGACAACATGAGAAGCTTCCAACATGGTCAACACTTTCTCCCAGCTTCCTGTCAAGCTGGACAGTGAGGCGATGGGTTCCTCATGCCCCCAATGACGGTTGCCAGTGTCATTAACTCTCGCACGACATTTTGAGGTTCATTGGTGTGAGGCTAACATACGTACAACCTCATCAGATGGGCTTTTTCTGGTGGCATAATGTGGTTTGAGCCCTAGATGATCCACAGAACCCTCTGGCTCCCAACAAACAATGGAAAAGAACTTCTGGCTGGGTTCCATGGGCCATCTAGAGTGGAAGTGGCATATGCTGCTGTGATGACAACACGAGAAGCTTCCACATGGTCAACACTTTCTCCCAGCTTTCTGTCAAACTGGACAGTGAGGCGATGGGTTCCCCATGCCCCCAGTGACGGTTGCCAGATTTCATTAACTCTCGCACGACATTTTGAGGTTCATTGGTGTGAGGCTAACATACGCACAACTTCATTAGACGGGTTTTTTTACTGGTGGCATATGTGCTTTGAGCCCTAGATGATGCACAGAACCCGCTGGCTCCAAACAAACAACAGACAAGAACTTCTTGCGGGTTTCCGTGGGCCATCTAGAGTGGACACGACATATGCTGCTGTGACAGCAACACGGGAAACTTCTGCATAGTCAAGACTTTCTCCCAGCTTCCTGTCAAGCTGGGCAGTGAGGTGACGGGTTCCCCATGCCCCCGATGACAGTTGCCAGATTCATCACGATGTGTGGTGATTCCAGCAGCCTGTGTGACAATTTTGTTAGAGCCCTGTACCTGAAGCATACCATTCTGAGCGCTCCTGCTGTTGGACATATGAACAGGGTAATTGTAGTTGGTCTTAATGTTTGTGTATAATAGTCATGCATAAGTCATTTATGTATAAGTCAAGGGCCGGATTTAGGGCTAAAAATTATGGATTTTAATATGAGCCATAAATAAGTTGAGGAGAAGGATATTCCTCGGGAAAGGGTAAATGCAATGCTGTCCCAGGGGGTTAGCCACCCCTGGTCATCACCACTTTCCAGCCCAAGAATTCAAAAAAGGCCAAAAATGGATCTGCAGCAGAAAGTCTCTATGGTTTTAAAATATTTTCCTGAGATGATCCAACCTTTGTGCCTTTCGCCATTCAACTCAGAAAAAAGAATGGTTGCTTTTTGATCGGAATTAAGATATCGTTCTTACACTGACCCATGTAACCCATTGATCCAACTCATTTTTTGTGTTTTGGGTTCAGAATGTTCTCTGAGTGTAGGTGAACTACAAATCCCAGCAACTACAACTCCCAAATGTCAAGGTCTATTTTCCCCAAACTCCATCGTGTTCACATTTGGGCATATTGAGTATTCGTGCCATGTTTGATCCACGTTTGAACCTTCATTGTTTGAGTCCATAGTGCTCTCTGGGTGTAGATGAACTACAACTCCCAAACTCAAGGTCAATGTCCACCAAACCCTTCTAGTGTTTTCTGTTGGTCATGGGGATCCTGTATGCCATGTTTGGTTCAATTCCATCATTGGTATAGTTCAGAATGCTCTTTGATTGTAGGTGAACTTTAAATCCCAGCAATTATAACTCCCAAGTGACAAAATCAATTTTTTTAGTGACGGTCACTTCTTGGGTTAGTTGGTGTCTTGTGGCCAAATTTGGCGGCAATTCGTTCAGTGGTTTTTGAGTTACGGTAATCCCACAAACGAACATTACATTTTTATTTATATAGATTGCATAGTAAAAATAATAATTTTATTCTATCAGAGAAACCAATACTGTATTAGAAGATTTTTGTTGCTTTTTTTTAAACCCTCTGATTATCACACGTCACTTTGTATTTGAGATCCAGCACAGCATAGTGGTGTAAGCACTGAACTACACTTCAAGACCAGAGTTCAAATCTCCATGCAGACATGGAAAGTTACTTGAGAAAGTTTGCCTTTGCCTCTAGCCTCAGAACAATATTGTTCTATAACCACAACCTCTCTGGACAATGTTGCCAAGAAACCCCTTTAGGGTCATCATAAGTCAGAAATGACTTGAAGGCACTCAACAGCAACAACAACTTTATTTATTTATGCAGGTGTGATAGATACCGACGACATTGCAAATCTCCGCAGAACACCTCAAGCAACGATATATTTTGCTGGAGAATTTGATAGTGTCTCCTGTAGAGCAACCAGGGATCTTCTCGTAATGGACATGGATGACAGCCAATTTGAGCTGATCACGGTTTTAGGCTACCAGGTGGGAGCAGAATTTTGCCGTCAAACTAAAGGCCCATACTGCAATCAAGCCCTAAAGCCCTCCACATATTATAGGTAAGTACAGAAACCAATTGAGGCACATGGGCCAAGTTCTTAAGGCCCATAGTAAATTGCTTTGACATGGCAGAGTTTCCTGCAATGCTAAACTGAATTTGTTTCAGCAACATTGGAGATGGATGGCATCTTGTTATAAGCTGTCGATTTTCAGTTGTTTGTTTGTTTGTTTGTTTACAGTATTTATATTCCACCCTTCTCATCCTGCAGGGGACTCAGGGCAGATTACAATGTACATATACATGGCAAACATTCAATGCCATAGGCACACAACATATATACACAGACACACAGAGGCTATTTAATTTTCCAGTTTTCATTAGGGTATTCTGGCCACCAGGGGAGCTGTCACTTCACCGTCCATTTGAGACACTGATGGAGTACTTCCTCATTCTTTGCTTGTTTGCTTGCTGGAAATTTTTATGGCATCGTAAATTAGTTAGAAACTAAGTTTTACTAAGTACATCAAACACACGTCTTAACACAGCGAGCTACAAACAGGAACAAGTGGAAAACGAAAGTCTGTCCGCACACCTGCCTATCTCTCTTCACTCTGATGAGACGAAATACTCCCTTCTGTTCTCAGCAGAAGCATACATTATCTCATTTCTCTCAAGGTTACATAGTCACAGCCTCAGTAATAAACATCCAGCATAGCAATTTCTAACACACAATAGAATCCATCTTGGAATTACATAGAAACACATTCAAAACACACATATATCTAAATTAAACCTGACAAATTATCCTCCCCGCATAAGCGGTACCTAAATGTCCTACTTGACAGATGCAACTGTCTTTCGGGCTGCAAAGATCGACAGCAAGCTACACAGAATGGTCGGAAGCTCACTCCGACCCGGGCTGGCTTCAAACTCATGACCTTTTGGTCAGTAGTGATCTTAATGCAGCTGACTCCCAACCATTTGCCCCACAGTCCCAGTTACTCTTCTACATAATGGCTGGAGGAATTCTGGGGGTATTAATCTAATAATAATAATAATAATAATAATAATAATAATAATAATAATCTTTATTTATACCCCACCACCATCTCCCCAACGGGGACTCGGAGCGGCTTACATGGGGCCAAGCCCGAACAACAACTTCAATATAAAAATACAAATTGCAGTAAAATAAACAACATAACATTAAAACATAAAAAAACAATATACACAGAGCATAGAAACCAAACATAATGACAAAGAGCGGGCCGCATGCACATAAAATGATTTAAAAACTCCGGGTGAGATAAGGGGGCAGAACTAATTGTAAGGGAGAACTCATAGAGAGACAGGAAAATAAACAAACCTTTGTACGTGGGGGATAACTTTCCCAAACTCTGGTTCTTTTGATGTCTTTTAAGAAGAGGTATGTGACTGTGCAAACAGTGAGACAAAGGCAACTAAGGGCTTTATCACACAGGGCTGGTAAACTGCAGTTACAACAGGACGACAGTGTCTCAGACTAATATACCTATCACATACTGTAATGTCATGTCTTTTCTGTTGATGATTTGCATTTCAGTCCTTAGTGGAGCTCATCTTTTCATCCTCAATAGCTTCCAATATTGCTGTTCCTAAACTGTCCCTAGCACAATTGATCCCTTCCATTCCAGTTGCAGTATTCCACCAGTCACATAGTATAAGTCTCCCACTCACTGTTCTCAAGCAGAGTGAGGTTGCCTTCACTCCATTTGTCTTTTCTGTTATATTTATTTTAGTACTTGAAAAAATGTATTGTTTCACAATCACAGCAAAAAAAATATAATGAAAAGATGCACATGTACTCAGTAGAACATATAGGAACCCTTAGTATGCCAACCAAATTCGGTATGATTGTTGAGACAGTTTTAACTAGTGGATTTTAACGTTGAGATATTTGATTTTAATGCTTTTGTATGTGTACGGTATAAATATGTTTCGCCATTGAATGTTTCGGGGTGAGAAGGGTGGAATATAAATGCTATAAATAAATAAATAAATAAATAAAACATACACAGGCAGGAAAGCAAGGTTAGCGAGATTTATTATTATTAATAATAATAATAATAATAACAACTTTATCTATATACCGCCCTATCTCCCCAAGGGGACTCAGGGTGGTTTCCACATATACAAAATAATACAAAAATATACAATATAAAACAAAAACATAGGCATAAACTGTTAACACAACATATACATTAAAATCAATTTAAAACCAGTTCCGTTCTCTTCTTCATGTAAGGTAAGCTGCAAGGGGCAAATATTTCAATAAGGGTCCTGGACTAGACAAGGAGAAGGGAAAATGGGGCTGGCTGAACGCTACAGTGCAAAGATCAGTCTCAGCAATGGCCCTACTAGGGGACCGAGATCACTCAATTCCAAGGACTATAAAAAGGGTCTGGACCCAAAGAAAAGGTGCCCTCAGATGACAGGGAACTGGGGAATGGATGGGGTACAAGGCCAAGTCCTAACTGTTTGACCAAGGGCTTGAGACTAGTCATTATCGAAGGCCTGATGAAACCACCAAGTCTTCAAGTTCTTACGGAAGGATGTAAGGAATGGGGCCAGCCTTATCTTCTTGGGGAGGGCATTCCAGAGGCAGGGGGCCACCACCGAGAAGGTCCTCTCCCTTGTCCCCACCCACTGGGCTTGAGACGGTGGTGGGAGTGAGAGGTTGGGCCTTCCCGGTGGATCTTAGTGTCCGCACTGGTTCATAGAGGGAGATGCAATTGTGGAGATAGGCGGGGGCCAAACCGTTTAGGGCTTTATAGGTCATCACCTGCACCTTGAATTTGGCTTGGCAACTTATCGGCAGCCAGTGGAGCTGTTTGGATAGGGGTGTTGAGATACCATGGAAGTGGGATTGTAGAACCCCACATTGCCAAAGCACACCATAGCACAACTGCAGAGAAGTAGGGTGACGATTGTTTCTATACTGATATGTTTCCATTTACTTAAATGGCATCATTGCTGCCAAACGACATGGGGGTGGGATAAAGCCCTAAGTCAATATACCCAAAATTAGAAAGTCTCCGGAGTTTCCCAAGCGTTAAAAAAGAAGTGCTTCCTCCAAAGAAGCACTGACATTTTACGACAACTTTTGAGGCAGAGTTTTGGATTTCAACATATTTATTTAAAGTCCATTTTAGAACCTGTGAAGAAGGTGGAGCGAACGTCCGATACGTTAAGGTCAAAGCATACTCCACAGATAATAATTATTTATTTATAATAATAATAATAATAATAATAATAATAATAATAATAATAATAAAGCTGTGTATGATACTGTTTTCATACTTTAAAGTTTTCATACTTTAATCCCCCCCCCCTTTTCTATCCTGTCTCAAGGGTGAATTTCTTTTTTCTGGACGACAAATCTGCAATAAGAGCTCATACGGATTGGTCAACAGCTTTACAAACTAAAAATGGTGAGTTTCAAACCAGATGAAGGAATCGTAACAGAAAAAATACTAATAAGATAATTGCTTGATTTTGTGAAGGAAAGATTGTTCTGGTTTATTTGTAAAATATCTAGCGTCTGAATTTCCCACTGCAATGTATCGTAAGTGCTCCTTGACTTATTGTAGAACCATTGATCTGCAGTTTGTGAGAAGAAAAACAAGTAATATAATGTCAACTCTATTGGCAATAGTAAAGTAACATCTCTTGAGATTTGGGTTATCCCTATGTCATTTATTGTTGAGACATGGGTCCCTGAAACTAATTTGCTATCTCTCCATAGATTACAGTCAGTTTTTGTCTCAACTTCCAAAACACATACTGGAGGCTATCTATGACAGTGGCAGCCTTACCATACTTAGAATCATAGAGTTGGAAGAGACCTCATGGGCCATCCAGTCCAACCCCCTGCCAAGAAGCAGGAATATTTCATTCAAATCACCCCTGACAGATGGCCATCCAGCCTCTGTTTAAAAGCTTCCAAAGAAGGAGCCTCCACCACACTCCGGGGCAGAGAGTTCCACTGCTGAACGGCTCTCACAGTCAGGAAGTTCTTCCTCATGTTCAGATGGAATCTCCTTTCTTGTAGTTTGAAGCCATTGTTCCGCGTCCTAGTCTCCAGGGAAGCAGAAAACAAGCTTGCTCCCTCCGCCCTGTGGCTTCCTCTCACATATTTATACATGGCTATCATATCTCCTCTCAGCCTTCTCTTCTTCAGGCTAAACATGCCCAGCTCCTTAAGCCGCTCCTCATAGGGCTTGTTCTCCAGACCCTTGATCATTTTAGTTGCCCTCCTCTGGACACTTCCAGCTTGTCAATATCTCTCTTGAATTGTGGTGCCCAGAATTGGACACAATATTCCAGGTGTGGTCTAACCAAGGTGGAATAGAGGGGTAGCATGACTTCCCTAGATCTAGACACTATGCTCTTATTGATGCAGGCCAAAATCCATTTGCTTTCTTTGCTGCCACATCACATTTTTGCCGCCACATCACATACTTATTTCATTCAATTTGCAAATCTATGTTCAAACTCTAGCTAATTCTTCTCCATGATGCATACAGGTTCTCCTCATTAAGGGCATGTATTTTGGTTCACTACATAGTATCAGGAGCCCACGGTGGCACAGTGGGTTAAGCCACTGAGCTGCTGAACTTGCTGACTGAAAGATCCAGGGAGCGGGGTGAGCTCCTGCTGTTCTCCCCAGCTTCTGCCAACCCAGCAGTTCAAAACATGCAAATGTGATTAGATCGATAGGTACCACTCTAGTAGGAAGGTAAAGGCGCTCCATGCAATCATGCCGGCCAAATGCCCTTGGAGGTGTCTACGGACAATGCCCGCTCTTTGGCTTAGAAATGGAGAAGAACACTACCCACCAATATCTGACACAACTAGACTTAGTGTCAAGGGGAAACCTTTACCTTTACATTGTACCAATGTTTATTTTTCATCTACATTATTAGAAATGTAAGTCTCAACAACATTTGGAACAGTCTATCTCAGGCATGGACAAACCCATGGGCTGGAGGTGGCCCCTTGGATCTATCTGAAACTTTCATCCATCTTGAGTGCCAGTATCCCTCTACAAGGCTCCTCCCATGTGGAGATTTTAGCACTAGAAAAGATGCTTTACCCACATCTATGGTAGGCATCCTCGGGGTTTGTGAGGTCTGTTGGAAACTAGGCAAGTGGGGTTTATTTCTCTGTGGAATGTTCAGGATGGAAAAAAGAACTCTTGTCTGTTTGAGGCAAGTGTGATGTTCTATACTTTAATGTTATGTTGTTTATTTTATTACAATTTTGTATTTTTCTTGTATTGTAATTTTTTGTTCATGCTTGGCCCCATGTAAGCCGCTCCGAGTCCCTGTTGGGGGAGATGGTGGCGGGGTATAAATAAAGATGATGATGATGATGATGATGATAATGATGATGATGATGATGATGTGTTGCAATTAGCACTGAATGGCATTTCAGCTTCAAAGTCTGGCTGCTTCCTGCCTGGGGGAATCCTTTGCTTGGAGGTGTTAGATATATAAACTGTCTGACATAAACCCCACTTGCCTAGTTTCCAACAGACCTCACAGCCTCTAAGGATGCTTGCCATAGATGTGGGTGAAACATCAGGACAGAATGCTTCTGGAACATGACCATGCAGCTCAGAAAACTCACAGCAACCTAGTATAAAGCATGTTTTATAAAGCTGTTCTGAGTCCCCTCGGGGAGATCGAGCAGCCTATAAATAAAATATTGTTGTTGTTGTTGTTGTTATTATTATTATTATTATTATTATTATTTGAAACACAAGGTGAGTTCACAGCAGACAAGATCACTCTGCTGGTTGTTGTATTGGATCACACGTCGGACACTTCCCAAGTGTCTAGGACTGTGTGATGTATCGGCGAATAATGGTGCAGATCCCAGTAAGGTGGCTTTTTGCAGCTGGCAGATGGTAATTTTGTCAGTGCCGATTGTGTTTAAGTGCAGGCCAAGGTCTTTAGGCACTGCACCCAGTGTGCCAATCACCACTGGGACCACCTTTACTGGCTTGTGCCAGAGTCTTTGCAGTTCGATCTTTAAATCCTCATATTGTGTCAGTTTTTCCAGTTGTTTCTCTTTTATTATTATTGACACAAAAGCACAGTATGTCACAGCAAACAAGATCTCTATGCTGGATTTCGTATCACAAAATCACAAGTCGAACACTTCCTGAGCGTCTAGAACTATGTGATGTATTTTTGAATGATGCGCACAGATCCAAGTAAGGTGGCCTTTTGCAGTTGACAGATCGTGATTTTGTCAATGTTGATTGTTTCCAAATACTGGCTGAGATCTTTTGGCACGGCACCCAGTGCGCCAATGACCACTGGGACCACCTGTACTGGTTTATGACAGAGCCTTTGCAGTTCGATTATTATTATAATTTATTTATTTATTTGGAAACTTGTCATTTCTTCCTTTCATTGTTATAACTGTTTCTGTTTGCATTTTAGTGTCGGATCATGAATCTGCTGATGTGATGTTTGGAGGACGAGCTGGAGGAATGATCGTAATCACCATTCTGGTTTCAGTTGGTGGGGCTGTCCTAGCAATTGCCTTAATCGTAGCAGTAGCTCTTTCAAATAAGAAATAACATGTCAGGAAAGTCAGCAGGAAAGTGAAAGGACTGCAGAATGTGAAACAAATAAAATATTAAAGAAATAGACATGATGAAGAATAAGAAACATAATCAGATGGAAACGTATATTTATATTTGATCCCATAACAACTTTACAGATTGATTGCTGTCTGCCACAAATGTAAGGCCGCTTCACTCTGTTATGCTGTTGAAATGTTTATTTGAAAACGTAAGGGATGAATGTTAAAAATATGCTGGATGTCTCCCTGTCAAGTACACACTGTTGATGACCCTGGGATTGCGGCCATATGAAGAAAAGAATAAATAACTGTTTTGCATCATAGAAACTGCATGTTTTCATGTCAGTAGTGGACATACCAGAGAATTATAAGAAAGAAAACACTCACAACAGATGGCTTCAAGTCAACCACCTTCTGTATGTGGAAAGTGTGCAAACTTCATGGCTATCTTCTGGAAGCTCGAAGGCAGACAAACTTCCATACACTGAGAATTTTCCAAGTTTGAGTTTGAATAGTTTGGATTTCTAAGTATTGTGTTTTTATAAAGTAAGAAAGGTCACTATTGTCCTTCATTACGTTAGGCAAAAGTTTGTAAATGTCATCATGTAAAGTAAGATAAATAATTATATCCTGATAAGACCTGAATTAAAGAATTTAAAGTCGATCCTCGTTGTGTTCTTTAGCTTTGAGTTGCTGGTTTTATGTTGGCACATTCCCCATATTTTGTAGAGTTGTGTGCAGATCTGTTTTCCTTCGATACATCTATTCTTTTGTTATTTTCGTTACCTTCGGAGCATGTAACAGGAAGCCCACTCCCGGTACGAAAATCAGCTTGACGCGAAAGCAAGCGGGAGATGATCCCGGCTCCTCGTCTGCTTTTCATGAGCAGCCTCATTGCTTTGGAAAGTGTGTGTGTGTGTGTTGTGCAGGCTTAGAAAGTGTGTGTGCCAGCCTGTAACTGAGTGCCTCCTCAAGAGTAAGAGAACTTGCCTTCTTGCCTTGGAAAATGTGTGTGGCGTGCAGGTCCAGAAACCCTGCACGCCTTCCTTCAGCCATGTGCCTCCTCTAGTGTAAACTTGCCTCCTTTCCTTGGTAAGTGCGTGTGGCATGCAGGCCCAGAAAATGTGTATGTGCAACGTACTGGCCTACCGTGCAGGGCTGGTGTTTGGTTTCTTTAAAAGGCCAAAAACAAGGCAGCCATTTTCTTAGCTCAGAGCTGAGGAGGCAAAGCCAACAGGCATCCATTTTGTTAGCACAGAGCCAAGAGGGGGCAGAACCAGCAGGCAGCCTTTAGAGTATGTGTCGTCGCCTGATTGGTCAATAGCCCTGGAAAGAGTCTGTTCAGTGAAGAAAGGGGGCGGAGCTAAGCTGAGGCAAGGAGAAGAAGGAACCATTTTTAAGTCAGTCAGTTTTTGGGTTTGGAACTATAAGAAGAAGGAAGGTTTGGGTTAGAAGTGGAAGTTCAGCTTGTGTTCCATTCTTAAATAGTTACTTCGAGGAAGAACTATTGTTTTAAACAGACCCTGGGGATTGGGCCGTTTGTAATTAAGGAACTGTTTAGTGGAAGACTAAAGGTTTCTTGGGTTTTGAAAGTTTGACTGGAACCCGAAGTTTTAAGCTCTGAACTACTTCTGTAACCATTAAGCACTGGACAAGTAACCTGCAACCATTGAGCTTTCTGTGTCTGTTCTAAATAAATAAATAAACAAACATATTTCTCTGTTTCAACCAAACAAAAAGTCTCAGTGTGCCTCATATAAGGAGGTAGCCTGTTGAGGTAAATTAATTGGTGGCAGCATAAATAAACACAGTAATCCTATAAGAGGGTTTGTTGTTTATTCGTTCAGTCGCTTCCGACTCTTCGTGACCTCATGGACCAGCCCACACCAGAGCTCCCTGTCGGCCGTCACCACCTCCAGCTCCTTCAAGGTCAAGCCAGTCACTTCAAGGATACCATCCATCCATCTTGCCCTTGGTCGGCCCCTCTTCCTTTTTCCTTCCATTTTCCCCAGTATTATTGTCTTCTCCAAGCTTTCCTGTTGATGTGGCCAAAGTACTTCATCTTCGCCTCTACTATCCTTCCCTCCAATGAGCAGTCGGGCTTTATTTCCTGAAGTATGGACTGGTTGGATCTTCTCGCTGTCCAAGGCACTCTCAGAACTTTCCTCCAACCACAGTTCAAAAGCATCTATCTTCCTTCGCTCAGCCTTCCTTATGGTCCAGCTCTCACATCTGTAGGTGACTACGGGGAATACCATTGCTTTAACTATGCGTTCGTTGCCAGTGTGATGTCTCTACTCTTCACTATTTTATCGAGATTGAACATTGCTCTCCTCCCAAGAAGTAAGCGTCTTCTGATTTCCTGGCTGCAGTCTGCGTCTGCAGTAATCTTTGCACCTAGAAATACAAAGTCTGTCATGGTCTCCATGTTTTCTCCCTCTATTTGCCAGTTATCAATCAGTCTGGTTGCCATAATCTTGGTTTTTTTTATATTTAACTGCAACCCAGCTTTTGCACTTTCTTCTTTCACCTTGATTAAAAGCTCCTCAGCTCCTCTTCACTTTCGGTCATCAAAGTGGTATCATCTGCATATCTAAAGTTTTTAATGTTTCTTCCAGCAATTTTAACCCCAGCCTTGCTTTCGTCAAGCCCCACACATCGCATGATGTGTTCTGCATACAAGTTGAATAGGTTGGGGGAGAGTATACAACTCTGCTGTACGCCTTTCTCAATCTTGTACCAGTCAGTTGTTCCATGGTCAGTTCTTACTGTTGCTACTTGGTCCTTATACAGATTTTTCAGGAGACAGACAAGGTGTCTTGGTATCCCCATACCACCAAGAACTTGCCACAATTTATGATCCACACAGTCAAAGGCTTTAGAATAGTCAATAAAGCAGAAATAGATGTTTTTTCTGAAACTCCCTGCCTTTCTCCATTATCCAGCAGATATTGGCAATTTGGTATCTTGTTCCTCTGCCTTTTCTAAACCCAGCTTGTACATCTGGCATCTCTCTCTCCATGTATTGCTGGAGTCTTCCTTGCAGGATCTTGAGCATTACCTTACTGGCATGAGAAGTAAGTGCCACTGTGAGAAAGTTTGAGCATTCTTTAGCATTTCCCTTTTTTGGTATGGAGATATAAGTTGATTTATATATAACAGGGTAGGATCGCAATTAAGGTCCTTTACCATGGCCTATCTACTTCAACTGGTGGCAGAGTGTATTGAACTTTAAGAAATATAAAGGGGACAGAATCCTTTAGAGTTTAGTGACAGCTATTAGGGTATCCGCTTCAGCATGCCTGCCTGAAGTTGGCCATCTCCTCTAGAGTATGAAACATGTAAGAAGCCTCCTTATAATGCGCGCCTGTCTGCAGCTGAGCGCCTCTCTTCTAGAGTAGAGCTTAAATGCCTAAAATGACAGGAAGGAGAGCTTGGGGACCCCCCCCCCCCATAATGGGCTGAGAGAAAAAGGATCTTTCAGCACCCCAGAGCAGAAATAGATATCAGCCCTCCTGATTTTGGAAGGATTCCAAAAAACGGACTGGGGTCCCCACCGAAAGCTGGGGCACAAAACCAGTCAAGGCTTACCCGGATTGCACAAGCCAAATATTTTGTCTAAACACATTAGACATTTATTTGAGACTGAAATCTTACAACAAACATGATAAAATTAAAATAAATCTGATTTTATTATTTCATCTGGTCCATGGCTTGCAAATGTTTGTTTAAAATATCCCAAAATCAGACTTTGAGTTTGCAATATTACTTAAGGGACATCCTTTTCCTACACTATTGTCTATATCATTATTTGAAAAAAAAAATATGTTCCTGGTTTGAAAGTGTTATTTTCTGTTTAGATGTGTGGTACTTACTTTGAAAGTAATTGTAATACTCCAGAAACTTTGTTTTCGTTGCTACAAACTATGTTGAATTGGTTGAGGCTCTATGAGATCTGGGTTGTTGTAGGTTTTTTTGGGCTATATGGCCATGTTCTAGAGGCATTTTCTCCTGACGTTTTGCCTGCATCTACGAGACCTTTTTTTAATGATCTTTATTTCAATATTTTACAACCATACATTAAAAGAACATAAGGGTGGAGGGGGGGGCGGGGTGTGAGGTGGGGGGTATGGATAAGTGAGGGGGGGGGAGGGTAGGCTTCCAGTCCATTCCACAGGAAGCTTGTTTTCTTTTGATATGGTATTCCTTTTGACTTCCAAATTCTCGCCACATTCTTGTCTTAAATCTTATATCTGAGATTAGGTTTTCCTTTCTTCTTCTTCTTTTTTAATTAACTTATTATTTTGCTTCTTTTTCCTACTACTCTACTTGATAATACCACTTAGATAAATTTTCCTGGAGATGAGCTGTCTTTGATCTGTTTTCTGTATCTTGTAGTAGGAAGGTTAGTGAGTCCATATTTCTGTAATCCAGTAATTTTATCAGCCAAGATTCAATGGTTGGAATTTCTCTCTGATGCCATTTCTGGGCTATAACTGATCTTGCCACCGTAGTCATGTAAAAAAAAAAATTACCTTTATTTTTGTCTATAATAAAGTCCAACAAATTTAATAAATAATATTCCAGCTTTAATTCGAATTTCATTTTAAATATTTTTGAGTGTGCTCATGTATTTTCTTCCAGAAGTTCTTAATTTCTTTACAGCGCCACCAGGTGTAGAAGAACGTCCCCAAATCTTCTCTGCATTTCCAAAATTTATTATTATTATTATTATTGTAATATCTTGCTAATTTCTGGGTTGTTAAGTACCAACGGAAGAATAGCTTATACCAATTTTCTGTAATAATCATCGATCTTGAATACTTCACTTTCCATATTTTCTTCCAGTCTTCTAGCTCGATAGAATGGCCAATATCCACCACCCATTTGATCATGTTTTCTTTTACCAGTTCTGTTTCGGTCTTCCATTCTATAAGTTTTTGGTATAACACCTTTATTATTTTCTTTTCCCTCTTCGTAACCAAATCCCATATTGTTTCTTGTGAGATCTTTATTGAAAAACTCTAGCAAAATGTGCTGCAGAATGTTCTGTTTTAGTAAATCACATTTATAACCCAGGAACTAAAATTGTGTTACATTGTGTAATAGGACTTGGGCATCCATGGATTTTGATAGTCATGGGCAAGTGGTATCCCGGAACCAAAGCCCAAAAATATGTAGAGTCTGTCGTGCTATTTTTCTATGATGTATAAATGATTTAATGAAAAAATTGCCATTACATTGCATTTACACTAGTCAGTTCTGCATCCCTTGCCAGGCACTTTTAGTCTTACTGAAGCTATAAGAAGAGACAAAAAGTGGTAGATAGCACCACCTAGAGCAAAAGCACAGTTAAACTTGAAATACGGGCAGAAATCAGTTAAAAATAGAGAGATATTAGAAGAGGGCACTCATTTATTTATTTATTGGTACTACATTTGTATACCACTCTTCTCAGCCTTTTTCTGTGGTGGACAAAAGGAAGAAAAAAAGCCACTAAGCCTGTTGTCTGTTTCCACCAGTCTGTCAGGTCATATCACTAGTGTTTCATAGATGTGTCATATTATAACTTGTTTCTTTATTGCAGCAAACTTGTCACGTTGCCAGGGCTCTGCCTTATTCAGGTAGAGATGAACTAAACTCCCAGCTTGTGTTAAACAATTT